GGAAATCATGTTCAAGAAGACCGTCGTTGGATGAGCTTTCAGTCAAGAAGTTGGCCAGTCACTCAAACAAGTTATGAGAATCACACTTTCCATAAAATCCGTTCTATTTTATACTCAGGTAATAAAGATTTATACCTTTCAAAATGTAGGTTGGTGAACCCACATTTGAAATTGTTAAGAGTGTTGGATTTGTCTTTAGTTAAATACTCCCATAGCATGCCCATTGGGATAGCGGATTTGATTCATTTGAGATACTTGGCTTTAAACACTATAGGCTCTCTTTACAAGTTTCGCTTGTTTAAACTTCAGAATTTGCAAACTCTCGCTATTTGTTCATGGATCGAAGGGTATCCTTTGCAATTGCCATATGGTATATTAGATTTACCACAATTAAGGCACTTACACCTTGAAAGGAAATCTTCACAATGCCTCCCTAGTTTGGTTCAAGGAAATTTACTAACTCTTTATTGGTTGAGAGTCGGTAGCTTAGATGAAAAACCAAACTTTAGAGTGGTTCCAAACTTGAAGGAGTTAGGGATTTACATTGAAGGTGAAATGACACCTAGTTGTCTGGAGAGTCTTGTCCATTTACGTCGACTTGAGAAGTTAAAATTTGACATGGGAAGAGTAGAACGCTTTTATCTCCCTAGCGGTTTTCCACCGAACCTAAAGAAGTTGACATTACGTTATACTTTTCTCCCTTGGGAGGAAATGAGCATAATTGGCCAATTACCCAACCTTGAAGTGCTTAAATTAAAAGATTTTGCCTTTTGTGGCTCAAAGTGGGAGCCAACAAAATGGGGCTTTCGAGGATTAAAGATACTCCTTGTTGAGCGATTGGATCTCAAACATTGGAATGCAAATGCTGAGCATTTTCCCGTTTTGGAGCTCCTAGTCTTGAAACATTGTTGGGACTTGAAAAGGGTTCCGGTTACTTTTGCAAATATTAAAACTCTCAAATCAATTGTGTTAGAGAGTTGTTATTCTTCTCTTGTGACTTCTGCAAACAATATTGCTGGCAAGGTCCAAAGAAAGGAAAATCGTATACTTCGTGTTTATGATCACGGAACTAAGGTTGGTCTCTCTTCAATTCTCATTCACAATTCGGAATTGTTAGTGTTGTGTCTTCTAATTTGGTGGATTGATATTATTTTCATTTCTTGAACTCATTTTGAACTACTCTGCTCTTCTCTAGGTTGAATTGCCAATTGATGAAAGTGACAGAGGGAATTTGTTAGTTTTGTGATTGGGGAAAACTTGTGCTCTGCTTTTGACGAAGAAAAACAAAAGAAAAAGTCTTTTGCCAGTTGCTTCATTCCCCCAATTTGTAGTGGATCCATCAAGCTCATTTCATTTCATTTTCATATGAAATTTTTTGTATAAATATTTTTTTAATCACATTGTGTATTTTTCATTCACTTATTTTTTTTAAATAGCCAAAAATCAAAATTTTCAAAAAATGACTTTGAAAAGCCACTTTTTTTGTAGTGTTCATTTGACCCTGAACAGAATGTAGTATATGTCGAGGCTCAAACCCAACCCATGAAATCCATATGAGAAAGTCACTTCGTGTCACTAAATCACAAGTTCATTGGTTTGAAAAACAACTTAATTACCAAATTTTCAACCAAAAGCTACAATTACCACTTAAATGAGCACTCATTATTACCAATAACTATAATTGGGTAGGTGAACCCCATCCCATTTTTAAATAGGTTTGGTTTAGCCTAATGGCCTACAATGTTTATGAAGCAACAATATATGTCATATTTTAAAAATTGAAGAGCAATATTTACACTATTAATAATTTAAGTGTGATATTGATAATTGACATATTTGTAAGGAGAATAAATTTCAATTTTCTCTAAAATATATAAAATTGAGAGATTTGAATAAACAAGTAGTATTATGTAATACATCCTTCTTCTTTTTTCTTTAAAAAAAAAAAAAAAAAAAAAAAAAAAAACTAGTCTAGTAAGAGATTCTCTGCATAATTACATTAGGTTCTGAGTCATTTGAGTTGAATTATTATTTATCAACATATAAAATATATAAAATAAAATATGAGTTATTCCCATGCTTATTACTCTATGTTAAAATAAATAAATTTAAAAAAATCAAATAAAAATGTAATTATTTAAAGAATTGAACTTTTTTTTGGACAAAAAGGCATAACTATAATACATTTTTCTTACTGTATTATGCATGCATTTGACTTTACAATATTCCTTTATTTGAACAAAATGGCATCTCAGCAACCAAGAAGGCAAGAATTATTATTGGATTCTACTAACCAACAAGGGAACTGATGAAACTAAAATAGAGCCAAGATCAGATCATCCACCTGACACACCCTTAAATTCAACAATCATCCCTTAGCTTCCACAATGCACTCCATTTCTATCATCATATTTCCAAATAAAAATAAATAAATAAATAAATACTCACTGCATCTGTTTTTTCTTCTTTTCTTCGACTCCCAAAATAATTTTTTAAATAAATTTAAATGAAATAATTATTTAAAAAAAAAAACAAAAAAACAAAAAAACAAACCCTTCGTCTCCGGCTCGGAGACGAAGGGCCTGGCCAATTCGTCTCTCCCTGGGCATGGAAACGGCCGGAGAAGGAGGGGTCGGCTTCATCTCCGGCCGTCTCCATGGCCAGGGAGAGACGAATCGGCTGCCCCTTCGTCCCAGGCGGAGACGAAAGAGCTCTTTTTTTAAAAAAAAAATAAATAAATAATTATTTTAATTAAAATTATTTAAAAAATTATTTTTAAATTCGGTAACTGTCACGTTAGCATGTTTTCAGGTAAACAGGACATTTTGGGTTGAATTGCATGAGTTTACGTTGTTCAGGGATTCAGTTACACTTTTTTGAATTCGATGGCCCAATTGTAATTTGGTGTGCAATTGAATGGCAAATTATATCATGCACCACGGTGCATGATCAATCATGCACCGCGCGTCTTTTTGTTAAATGAAAAGAAATGGTGTTTGTTTTCGGCCGTTTCGCACCCTTTAGCAAAAAGTAACCCTGTTATTCAGTGTCATTTTGTATACACTGCAATTTCAGTTCAACACAATTACAGTTTCATTTCGATATAACTATAGTTTCATTCGATATTTATAGACTCAAATATGTGAAAATGTTATTTAATTTTATTTTATATACACTATAGTTTCATTAAAACACAACTACATGATCATTTTGATATAATTACAGCCTCATTGTACAATATACACTCAAATATGTGAAATGTTATTCAGTTTCATTTTATATACACTGCAGTTTCATTTCACTATAACTACAGTATCATTTTGATATAACTGCAGTGTCGGTTTAGATATACTGTAGTGTCAGTTGGAGTTTAATACACCAAACAAGCGACTCCGTTAACTATAACGGCGGGCCGTTTCTTTACTTAAAGAAACGGCGTCATTTTTTACCGTGGTGCATGTGTGCACCGCGGTCTATGATATAACAACTGCAATTGAATGACCTATTTGATTCTTATTCCTCGAATTTAAAGGAGAAGTATTAATTTATTAAAATTTAAAATAATTTCAAAATTTTCACAACCATTCGTTTCAACTCATCAGAATGGGTTTGTATTAAAATCCTTTCAAAAAAAATAAGAAATAAAAATTATTAACATATTACAATTTAGCATTATCTTGTTCTTATTCTTTCATCTGCGACTAATTAATATAGAACCCATTGTAATTATTTCCATCATAGATTCATAGGTAAAACTAAAGCATATATAAATAATGTGATGAGTAATACAAATCGCATATAATAAGATTGATAAGACGAGATATTATTAGAGGAATTTGGTGTACCAACCAGCTAAGCTAAAACCATTATTCTGTGCTAGGACCACTTGTACCCTTTGCACCCATTTAATCTGACCTTAATACACCAAACCTATTCCACAAGGCCAGTCAATTGTACGTATTACTGCCATCGACCACAGTCCTATAAGTATAACCTTATGCTTCGCTTTTAATGTATTCAAATATCATCAGTCTGCCATAGCTGTCACTCTTTAATGCCTCCTACTCCTCCCATTAAAAAAAAAAAAAAAAAAAAAAAAAAAATCTTGTGTGAGATCGTCTCACTTACGTGAGATGCATAATATTTATAGTTAAAATGTAATACGTACTGGTATTTTTTTATTTTTTTTTATGTGAGACTGTTTCACGTGAAGTGAAACACATAATATTTTTTAGTTAAAATGTAATATGATTCCATGAGTTCATTCAAAATACTAACATATAGCTAAAACATATTATGTGTCCCACGTAAAACGGTCTCACAAAATATCAACTCAAAGTGAAAATGTTTCAAAGGTCACCCTGGAAGTAGTCTTGCTCCAGCAGCAAGGTGAAAGTTAGATTCTCACTGAAGACATGGGGGGTCACTGAGAGACCCAAAGTTCAAAAAATTGATCAGAAATGATGAAGACTCCTTTTGCGACATAATATACAGGCAAGGGTGGAAAGAGGCTAACTGAGGGATTCTCGATTCACCTCCTCCAGTGTGATTGAGCAAAAGTTCTGGAGACTTACGATTAGTTTAGTATATCAAAGTGAAAATATTACAATAACTATGAGCCATACTTCAATTTGACCCAGTCCTTTCAAGCCTGCCATAACTTAGCTTCCACTATCCAATTTTCTCTGGCTACAATCCAAAAGGACACTGCTTAGGCAGGAGGAGGTTTGATGACACTGTTGGATCTTCATGGACCCATATATCTTCTGCTAAAATCATTATTTAACCATATTGGCCTCTTATTGTTGTCATCAAGCCTTATGCTTCTATTCCTTTTAATTAATGTTTCTGTAAGTTTTGTTGTTTTATAGGAACATAAAGCTAAGACTGTGTTCTTGGTACTGGAAAAAGAAAATTAAGAAATTAAATAGGAGAACACAACATTAATGAATGAATATATTTGACTATATATATAACATAGTTGTCTAGAAATGGCAAGGTAACATAAGATAGAGATTCTAGAATTGAAGTTAGCTAGCTTGTTACATAAAAAAAGGTTAGTCTTTTCTAAACCCCAAATATCCTTATTTCCAAATTCAAAAGTAGAAGAGCTATAAATAGTTGAGCCACAAGAGTTCTCCAAAGGTCAAAGTGGGTTGAGAATCCCAAAGAAACCATTGGCCCTACATAGGAATCTCCTTTCCCGTTCCCATTTCCATTCTCATTCTGATTCCCATTCCGATTCTGATTCCCATTACCCAACCGGGAATTGGCATCGAGACCGATCTGGGTAGTGAGAGTGATGATATGTTGTTGCTGACAAGATTTTACACCAAAAGGGACATGGCTAGTTGGAGTAGCAAAAGGGAAGCAAAGATTTGGGTTGTTCCAAAGCCCTAATCTCCTCCCCATTTTCCCATAAAACCCTTGAGAGAATGCAAGTTTCCCTGTCAGATTGTTGCCATTTAGGTAAATGGCACTTACATTTGGCAGAACTGCAAGCCTGGGGGAAACCTGGCCTGAAAGGTTGTTGTCATTAAGGCCCAAGAATCTTAACCTCTCCAGCCATGTTATGGATTCTGGGATGCCACCATTCAACCTTGTATTGGACAGATCCAAGACTGTTAAGGTTGCCTTGAGGTGGCCCCACTCCAGGCCCAGGAGGGTCCCACCAATGGGGTTGTTTGACATGACTAATTCCTCCAATGACCACATTTCTTGAAGTGATTTGGTGAGTCCACTTGAGAAATTGTTGTTGCTTAGGTCTAACAATGTTAGGTTCTTCAGATTCCCAATCTCTTCTGGGATTTTGCCACCCAATTGGTTCTTGCTCAAATCAAGCTTCAAAAGTGAACTCAAGTTTCCCAGTGATGAAGGCAATGGACCAGACAAAAAGTTTCTGCTAAGGTCAAAGATTAAGAGGCTTCCAAATCCACCAAAACTGTCTGGGATTCTGCCTGTGAACTTGTTACCAGAAATAACTAGCCTCCTTAAGCTCACCAGGCTGCCAATATTCCCCGGCAAATCGCCCGACAATCCATTCCCAACAAGCACTAAAGATTGGAGCTTTCTCAGGTCCCCAATGGCACTAGGTACCGGTCCAATCACCCCCGGGTTTGAACGAAACTCGAGTGACTCCAGGCTACCTGCTAGGAGCTCCCAATTCTGAGCTGCAATGGAGATCGGATGATCACGGGGCGAGACAAAGCAGTTGAAAAATGACAGAGCTCTGAGGTGCTTGAGTGTAAAGAGATGGGGGCTAAATTCTGCATTTTGGGCACATTCAAGAGAGTTGTCATGAATAGGCCCAATGCTCAAGTCTGTGACATACCATAAGCCATCATATAGGTCACAAGATACACCCTGTTGCACAACACAAAAACCACTATCAGACCATTACAGACTCGGATACCATGTTATAATCTAAGATTAGACCAATATCCCTTAACTGGCTAAATCACATTATTAGACTGAATCCAATCAATTAGCTAGTCTAACACATGGTCTTATAAACTCATGTGTGTGACTCTTAACAATTTGCTACTTGATTCAGTTGTGTATAGTGTTTGAACTGTCAATGAACATTCTCCCCCTTTTGCCTATCACTGACTAGGATTAATATTCCATAAGATTCATCAAAGATTTTAGGCTCTCAACAAGCATATGGTTGGAAGCATCTGATCCCAGACTGATGTGTTTGTCAGCCACTTTACCAAAAAAGTATAAATAAATAAAATAATGCAAAAATCAAATACAGATTGCATGTTCTTGAATCTGTTTGTTTGCTTCATACCAACAAAGCAAGTTTATAATGAATGGGTATGTTTAGTTAAAGTATCAAATCAGACAAGACCTACCATAATGCAAAAAAAAATTAAAAAAAAATTATAAATTTATATTATTTGTACTATTTTAAGGTGCTTGTATTTTAACATGTTTTATATTTAGTGGCATTATAAAATATAAGAGGTAAAAAGAATATCAAACATAAGGCATATACCTACCGACACTAGAATTTTTACAAAACAAGTATGATGTAAAAAATTTCTACTTCCTCATCCTTTAATAAGTTTTGAACAAATTTTTGTCACGTTTGAAATAAATGAAATAAATGTCCATTGAATTTATACTTAATATTCAGTATTGTAATTTTGTAACTTAAAGAATTATCAGACTCTTACTACACCAATTGGTCCCTCACTCCCCCTTCCCAGCCCCAATTCGAACAGTTATATACAATCTAGACTGATTTTCCTCTTTGTAATTCTTTTCTGGCTAGGGTCACGAGGTATTGGACAGTGACTACGGGTTTTTCTCGTCACACAGTTAAGTTGGTGCGATTGTTACTTGATAACCACAAAGTTATAAGTTCGATTATAACATCTTTAGTGGCTGTGAGATTCTCACTACAGAATCACAAAAATAAGAACGGTGCACATCTTCGAACAGTGGTTAAGCGTTTTCCGACTACAGAATTACTGAGATGAATATTTTGTTGTAAAACAAAGTATAGAAGTAATACCTGAATAGGAGTCCAACCACAAGGATCTGGGTAGAGATCTGAACCATTCCAGTGCTTACCCACAAAGCCTTGAATAGCAAAGTAGAGAGCTTCTTGTTCAGTTTTCTCCATTAATGAAGCTTCAAGAATTTGGGCATCATCTCCATTGCACCACACAACAAAGTGGGCTATAAACAGCAAAACAGTTACAAGAAAACTCAAGTCTCTGAACTTCTTCATCATGGAGCTAAGAGAAGAGAGAATGGGTTTTGGAGTACTGCATGAACAAAAAGGCCAGTTTTTTAAAGACTTGATTGTTCAGAGAAAATCTGTATTTTTTTTTTTTTTGGGATCAAAAAGTGATCCCAATGAAACAGGGAAATGAATGGAACAAATAAAAAGAGATGGAAGCTATGGTTTTTCCTTACAAATGTTTTATAGCAAAGGCTAAGGTGGAAAAAAAGAAAGGGGGGAAGAGAGGTGCAGAGTAGAGTAAGAGCAGGACAGATTGCAGAGGAAAAACTAAGTCTAGGATGTTTTAGCAGCTAAATAGATATAGCACAGGTGTCAAGGCTCTCAACTCCAAAAAGCAATTATGGAAATGTCAATAATAATATATTAAATTTAAATTCTGAAATAGCATTAAAGAATTGAGGGGGAAGTGGAAGGTTAGATTGGGTATTTTACTATTATTGCAGTATTTCATGAGTGGCCCGAACTGGTTTAGTAGGCAGTATTTGGGAGAAGTACAAATGTTCGAACCTCGACAGCGGTCCCTTGTGTGTACCGGCATTTAATTTGTCTACTGAGTCATTGAGTCACCGTGATTTACATCCTCCCGGAGTGTGGTTGGGGTTGGGGATTGAACTACAAGGTCCTTGGTAGTTAATACTCAATTTAGTCATCAATTATATTGATTTTTTTATTTAGTCCTAAACATATTTTTATGCTTAATTTGGTTCCTTGATTTTGATGATTTTTCCTAATTGATTCCTTGACGGTTAGAATCAAGAACTAAATCGTTATAGCCGATAACTAATTTTGGTAAAAGCACTATAGTTGAAGACTAAATTATGTATTAACATAGGAGAAATTACCAAGCTACAATTACAGACGACTCAGTTAGAGAAAGCCATCAAATTTGAATACCCAATTATGCACAAAAAGGCGTTTATGAGGACTAAATAATACAGAGTAATAAATAAATAAATAAAACACTATAATCGATAACTAAATTGATTATTAACTCTTTTGTTATTGTTTTATAATTTTTTGTTTTTTTTTTTTTAAGTGCAATCACTCTAAGAAATTTCTTCTCTTTTTTTTTTCTTGAAGTCTTTTTCATATAAAATGTCAAAATTGCCAACTTTATAAAAGTATGGAAATTTGTGATTCACATTTTTAACTCCTTGGATATATAATGTTGATTGATGTGACAACCTCATAATTAAAATTTTATATTTTTTAAATAATGAAATTATTTGCAGAATTGTACCACAATTGTACTGTACCATAAATCATTACAATATATAGGACTCATCCAATGAACAAAAAAATAAATTGTTCTTGTTAAAGTACGTACTAGAGTAAAACTATGTGTTAGAATTGTAACTAATCTATTATTATAATTTGAATATTATATAATTTAATGTAAAATTTATGTATAAATTAAAGGGTTTTTACAAGTCATTATGTGATTATGGTACACACAGAAATTTTCTATCAATAATAATTTATTCTATCAGTTTTTAAAGTAAAATTGGTTAGAAAGGCTGTGCACCATTTTAATTACTGCTTCAAGATTTCCCTTTATCAGCAGAGGCATGGTTATTATCAGAAAGTGAAAAAGGCAGAACTAAATATATTTAAAGTTTGATGGTGAAATGGCAGTTGGGAGAGTTATGGTTTGACAGGTGGTTAGAGTGGAATTTTTCCATTTACCTAAGTTTTTTTTTTTTTTTTGGGGGGGGGGTGGTTAATTTTTTGTGTGACGAGAGAAACCCATAGTAACTATCTAATATAATAATAAGGGTATGTATCATCACGTAAATTTCACACTGTGACCTTAACCAATAAAAGACTACAGTAAGATAAGTCAGTCTAGATTGTTTATAGCTGACAAGCTCAAATCAAGAAGGTCAATCAATAGGTTATTACTGCTCCTGCGAGAAGTTAAATTTGAAACTTTGTGGTTATTATCAAATCAACTGATGAACTTGGCTGGAGTTACTTTTTTTTTTTGTGGGGGTGGGGTAAGAGCAAATGGGGAAGGGGGGGACCTATGCAGAAGGAAGAGGTGCATGTAAGTGCATGCAAGCCAAAGGTGATTTTTTGTCTCAAGTTCAATATAATGAGTTGCATGCTCTCTTGTTTTTTGAGCTCAAAAATTGTTTTAGAAGAGGGCTTATGGAAAAGACATAAAAGTGACATACCAATGGCAAAGCCTTGGGAAATGAGTAGCGTTGGTTTAAAATAATCATACTTAGCAATTTGATTAGGATCTTGTTATCTTATAATAATAATAATAATAATAATAATAATAATAATAATAATAATAATAATAATAATGTGGGTGATTGTGTGTAGAGTATAGTTTGAGAGTAGTCCATGCAATATTTTCTTTTTATAAAAGAAAATTTAATGGTATGTCTCAAGATTACATAAAAACGTAATAAATTGTATTATTTGTACATAAAAATGTAGTAAAATGTTGTTTGCACATAAACTTTTCCATATGTCATTATATCATCTTCGCAACAGTTATATTTCATAAAATTTTGTATATTATATCTAAAATGGATTAATTCTCGATTTAATCCTTGACTATACATGGTAACATTTTTTTAATTTAATCTCTACTTTAATAATATTGTTGAATTTAATCCATCATTATGAATTTTGCCTTATTTGCTTAAAATTTGGACTTAAAAAGTACTCCGTAAATTATTTTCTCATTAATCGTGAAATCGTTAGGGTTAGATATCTAACATTATAGTTATAGTCAACCAAACAATAATCCTAAATTTGAATATGAGGGGACGGGCCCGGACAATTAAGTTGGATCATCATATCAACAACATAATGTTCAATTATCGACAAGGAAATTAAGGATCATAATTATTATGGTTTTATTAATTGTTCATAAAAGTTGGACCAAAATTTTATTGATGATATTTATCACAATAATGTAAGAAGCAGACAAGAACAACAATGTGGTTTAAATGGGGCACATGGTTTAGACTTGTAGAGGTGGCGACAATGGTCCCAAATAATGAGAGGCTATACCCTAGCATCCTTACTATTTAGGCCAAATGCTACTTCTTTATCCCAATCCATTATACTATTTTTGTAGTTAACTTTTTCTTCTTCTTTTTTATTAGTATTAATTAATGTTAATAGCAATAGATGTTCAAAAAATCCTCCTAAATTCTTATCAAAATATCATGGTTGAAAAAATTGCTAGGCGCTCGAGAGGCGCCTAGGCTGCAATTAATCGGCGCCTGGATGCTCGTGTATTTTTTATTTTTAAAAAATTTGTTTAAAATTTTTAAATTGTTTAAGACTTGATAATTATAAACTATTTAATACATTAATAGATAATACTGAAATATTAAATATTAACTTTAAAAACATCTAGAGTTTGAATAATTTAGGGTTATTTCACTCAAAACGATTCAAAACGATGTCGTTTTGAGTGAAATAATCATTTAAAAAAAAAAAAAAAAGAAAAAACGAATCGATCGATTAGGCGACCTAATCGGTGCCTAGGAGACCTAGGCGGCGCTTAGGCGGCCTAGTTGGCCAGCCGGCCGCCTAGACCACCGATTATGACGATACGCTAGGGGCGCCGATTAATCAGTGCCTAAGCGAGATTTTTGCAACAGTGCAAAATATTAGTTTAACGTCCAAGAGAACCACTACTTGTGTATTGAATGCGATTTGCAATGACCATATGGGAGCTGTTAGCCTCAAAAGGACTAGTGCGAGAGGGCATTAAGCTGCTCTTGGGTCCCCATGATTTAAAAAAAAAAAAAAAAAAGAGTTTAAAAGAAATATGGCCCCTATATTTTAATGGATTGGTTAATTCCTTCCTATGTTATTTTATTTGTCAATTTGATCCTAAATTTTACAAATTTCATTTGATTTGATCATTTTATCAACTCGGTTAACTTTTCTATTTAAATTACTCAAGATTTGACTCTATCCATTGTTTGCTCGCAAAATAATAAATGGAAATATTTAAAATAAAAATAAAAAAAAGTCTAGATCCAATTTTTGTTCCTATACTTTCTTTAATTTGTTTTTTCTTTTGCGAGGTTTCAAATCATGTGTTAGAGTGTGAGAAGCTTTAATTGAGGATTTATTGATTAAAATGAGCAAGAACTCAACATATCATCATCGCATGTTCACACAAGACACACACACACCAAAAAAAAAAAAAAAAAAAAAAAAAAAAAAAAAAAAAAAAAAGGATAATGCCATCTTATTATCTAGTTATAGATGAAAAGAGTATTGTCATATTCACAACTGTCCCAGCTTTAATCACTAATTTCTTAGTGTGTTTAGTGGATAGTTAACTTAGTTTGTGTGACAATAAGATAGAGAATGAAAGAGATAGTATATGTTAAGTTATCTAAGAAAAAAATAGTAAGGAATTAATTAATAGTAACAATAATTTTTTTGTCATTATGGTCGTCTAAGCTCAATGTATAGGATTTTAATGGCAATTTATATCCTACACCACGGCGCGCGTTGCACTATGCACCCAGATGCAAAACGACGTCGTTTTAATTATTTTTTTTTTTTGAAATTTCCCGCCCCAGTGAATGGCAGTAGTTTTTTCTTAAAAAAAAAAACCCGCTGTTCAAGAATGTACATAATGTTTGGTAGGGAATATCCTGACCGACATAGCTTCACCACGACCGAGAAGCCTTTGTCTTTTTCTCTTTGTCTTTGCAGGTAACAGGTCGGGCTCCTTGAGAAGAACCCGGTCGTGGGCCGACCGGGAGTTGCCCGAGCGACGGTGTCGACCACCGAGCGGTAGCCCTTTGGCGAGAGAGCTGACGAAGGACACGTGGCTGTTCTCTACATTGACAGGCAGGGCACCCGGGAGGATGACACGTGGTGGCTACGTGGAGGACATGCCGAACGGCTGGAATCTTGTCCCTGGCATGGCGGCTATAAATACCCACAGTAGCTACAGTGTAGGGGACTTTTGGACGATCGATAGGTTGTTGTTAGAGAATCCCGACCGCAGTCGGTCGGTACTCAGAGCAACCAAGTAGATTGTACTTAGGGCCTCTATTGTGATCAATAAAGTCATTTACTTGCTTTAATTGGTCTCGTGTTGTTATATATTGCTTACGTATAATTAGCAGTATCATTTTGGCGCCGTCTGTGGGGACCGTGCAAGAAACCAACGTCTTGACGAGCACCCGATCACTATATCGACATGTATCCGTGGGCACACAACAACTTTGCCGACGACCAGGCGGATGCGGCGAGCTCCTCCGACCA